TTTTTTTTTTCTGTTTTCTTTGTATGCCCTTCAGACGCAGCTTTGTGCCAGAGAGTATGGAACTCAGAGCAGTGTCTTAACGCAGAAGTGAGATACTATTTCGATTCCACCGCCAAACAGTGCAAATCTTTCAAATTTGCAAATTGCCTCGGGAATGAAAACATCTTCCCAACAGAGGCGGAATGTCAAGCCAGATGTACAGGTTTGTACTCTTACAGTTGTCTCTGTTTCAAAGCGAGTCCTCGTGGAAACCTTTCAGATGAAAATGAGTTTGATTTACGTGAAAATGTACCTCTACGCGGAACATATTTTCATATGAATGGTTTAGGACGAAGACTCATTTTGACACAGAGGCAAAAGCCAACTCGGAAATGACCTATTTGCCACACTCTTACCAATTACTTTTGTCAGTCAGATGGCCTGGATTCTTGCGTGATATACCCTCAAGGGAGACTTAGATCTTCCACTTAGAGATACAACAAGGATTTCTGCATCACCGAGACTCGTCTCTTTCGTGATTTGTATTGGACGTGTAACAAGAGACATCTGTTTTGTTACAGTGATTTTGAAGTTGGTGTTGTAAAGCCAAAACCAACATACTCAGCTGATCTCAAACCGTAGTAAAACCAGAAGCAAGACCAAAGAAATTGCCTGATTACTTTCGACACTCAACTGAAAACCGCTCTCAACTATGAGAAAAGCTAAATGTACAAATCAACGATTGAGCTTGTAGAGTTATGTTAGCTAGATCGAGTTCAGGGTACGTTTTATTGAAGGACGATTTCAAACAAATGTTCAGTCGATGGACGCTCGTTTTGAAAATCCATAAAAATGAGTCGCCTGGCGACTTTATAAAGTTTGTTTCAAGGCTGAAATTTGCTCTAAATTTACTCTGACTTTATTTCCTTAGGGCCAAAACCAACAGTAGTTACTCCAACAGGCCCAGGGCCTAAAGGTTAGTACAGTACATGCACTGTGTTCTTGTGATATATTTCATATTTTTGAATTATTGCATGGTAATTGGAAAATCACCCCTTACCTAATAGCCTCAAAGTTCAGTTGGTAGAACGTTTGCGATGACAGTAGGTTTGAATCTTTTTTAATCTTTCCTTGTCTATCTTAGTTTCCTGGGCACTGTGTACGTCCAGGAAGATCGCGTTCACTTGAGAGGCAAATATTGAAAGACTGTTTATTTTTTTCTCATTTCCCCTTCTTTTTCCTTGTAGAGCCTCCTGTTCCTGCCAGTTATTATTGGTACTTCCTGGCCTTGCAAAAGAATCAAGTCTACGGAATTCCTCCCTTGCTTATCAACGGACAAGCGAGTCTTCTTAACATGGGCTTCCAAATTGTCAACAAAACGTGGCTTTCCACAACAATTTCAGCTCAAGACTGTCTCCTTAATCCGGACAATTGCTTGAAAGGCTTCACTATTGGTATCAAAATTCGTTTAGACTTGTCTATCAAGTATTGCAATCAGCCAAGATACATCATAGACACTGGTCCCAGCGTCAAATCTCAAGGTGTGTCACTTTACGTCATTAAAGGAATGCTGGTTGCCCGCGTCACGTCTTCAAAGGGAACCTGGCAGGTTTGTCCATGGATTTGATTTGCATGACCTTAAAGGAGCTACGTCACGGTTCGCGCCTCTTGAAAACTTAAGCCTAAATTTTTCAAGTTCGTCATTTGTAATCCGTGTCAATCTTCTCCATCCCTAACCATCCTTCTTCTTGTATGGTTTATTATTGTCTCTTTGGTGTTTTTCTATCTTGGTAAACAATCATTTTCAGCTTTCTTTCAATTTAAAGGTGATATTGTACGTGACCAAAATAATTCCAAATACCTTGACTGAGCACCTTTAAGGTTGGCTGCAATGGTTCTTCAAAGGAGCCACTGTTAAAGTAACAATAATAAGGCCCACTTATTATCCCATAGCTCGCTAACTTATCTAAATTATTTAAACATTTCAGGTGCAAACCCCAGCTGCGTTTGACTTCTGGTGCTACATTTTAATAACCTGGCATCCAAAAACGGGACTTCAGTTTTACGGTAACAGCAATCTAAAAGCCAGTCTGACGGTAGCTCAAGCTAACCCAGCTCCTGTACCTGTGTACAGTGGAAAACCAAACTTTGCTGTTGGGCGTGGTCTAAAACAAGAGTCCAAGCAAATGTGTGGCCTGGTCTATATGTCATCTATAGCTGTGTTTAAACAGTACCTTACCCAGGAATGGGTTAACAAGGTCTTTGGATTCTTCTGGAAGAACAGTAAGTGGATTTGTTTTCCTAACAGATGTAGTTGATCCCTGTTTCAGTCGGCATTCGTCTACATTAGAAAAAAATGTAAATGTAATTTCTATTTACGCGCGACGCACAGAAGGGCTCCGATGAACTCGTTTATGAAGTGTTAGCGTATTGTGTTCGAATTAGAATTCGGATCCGAGTGTTGGTTTGGAGAGAGAAAACTGGAGAACCTGGAGAAAAACTCTCGGGGCAAGGACGAGAAACAACAGCAGACTCGACCCTCTTGTGACTTAGGATTCGAACCCAAGCCACATTGTTGGAAGGCGAGTGCTCTCAACACTGCGCCATCCGTGCTCCCATTTATTGCAAAATAAATTTTGTTTGTCACACAGCACGAAATCGCAAATTTACTCAACTTTCCTACAGGCATAGAGTTGCGTAAGGTTGGAGATTGAGCTTTACAGCGGTATTTTAAAGGTGCGTAAAGTTGCGAAAAGTAACACCGCCGTAAAGCTCCGTAAACCTACCGTAAAGCCACCGCCTTTTAAGCGCTAGTATTTTAATTACCATAAAGGCCAGGCGTGTGCAATGTCATTCTTGAAGTACTCGGAGAGGATACACAAAACTAAACTGGAGGCCTATCGTGACTGTGGCATCAAGTAACTGCGGAATATATGCAAGAAATGCAGTCAATGATGAACGAAAAAAAATCTCAGATTTACTGACTTTGTATGTAATTTTCGTCGCCATGTAAAGGCTGCAAGTCGTTTGAAGTAGCTAGGTTTGGGCTCGTTGATTTTAAACTTGAGATATGCGTGCTATTTCTGCATAAAGTTGTTGCTTGACGTCGCCGTATTGGAATTGTCATGTCATTGACATTGTTCTAAGAATAACTATGTCCCACCATTCTGTCTTGTTTTCAGTTGTGTCCAAGCAACCACTAGTGGATTACTACATCAAGATGAAGATCACCAATCTCTCTGGCAAAAAGATTCTCCTTATCCCTGGTGATAACGACCCAGCCAGTGGAATGCCGATCAATGCTAATGTTATTGCCATGATTACAAAAGACTGTCCGGTTGTGGAACCGAACGTTCCGGCTTTGCAGTTTGCTGTTGTTGATGCTGAGACGAGAAAACAATTTCTTTTGATAAATGGGACACAGATTAAGACACTGAGACCTGTGAAGAGCGAGAATGTGATACCAATCCATCTGGTCATTGGCAAGCCAGGTAACTTCTACTGCAAACTGTCATTCGCTTTACTTGCATGTTAGAGGAGCTAGTCACGGTTTGTACGTCTTGAAAATTTCGTCATTTGTAATCCGTGCCAGTCGTTTCCATCCTTAACCATTTTGTTCCTTTATGGTGTATTATTATCTCTTTGATGTTTTTCTATCATAGTCAACTATTGTTTTTAGGTTTCCTTCAATTTAAAGGTAATTTTGTAAGTGGCCAAACTGACTCAAAATACCGTGACTGAGCTGCTTTAGCGTACACGTATTCTCCTTCAGCGCCCAATAGTTCAAACGCTGTATGATTAATGCTTAATTGAGAGTCAGTTTAGACGCATGTTCAAGTCACCTTGTGAATAGTAGAAACTTAAGTCTTAGTTAATTGACTATGCTTAAGTCAAAAGATCATCATAAGTATCGTTTGTTTCACAATGCAGTCATTTGAGATGTAGATCGCGACGTTTCGACTGCTAACATCTAGTGTTCA